TTTTTTTTTTTTTTTGTACCAGGGATCGAACTCAGGACCTTCCACTTGTGAGGAAAGCAGTGGAACCACTGAACTGAATCCCTGGCCCCGGAAGAAATTTTGAGACCTGTATTTCTGCAACACACATTACTCTGAAGGTCACCAGAAACCCAGAATGTAAAACCATGCCCCTTTAGCCTCCCTTCCCAGTAGCCTCCCTCAGAAGCACCAAAGGAGAATCATATCTTCACTCAGGAAAGTCCAGTCCCGCAGCTCTGTGCAGAAGAAAAGAGCTCAGCTTACCCGGCATCTATCTTGCTTTTGAGGCCCAGGCTGGCGTGGGAGTGCTCCGCCATCTTGGGGAGGCCACTGGTTCCACTAGTAAAGTAGATGGCAGCTGCTTCTTGGCTTCCTGACTCCACACAGCGATGAGTAGTGGAGGCCTCCCTGGCGGAGACACAGACTGTCACCTTTAGATTTAGCATGTTCACCAGATGTCACTGTGACTCGTTTTTCTCCACCAGCCCCCAGGCTGATGAGGGCAAGTCAGCCGGTCCATTTCAGAAGAGAGACTACTGACTGAGTGGTTAAGGTCATGGGGTTATTTCTTTTTTTTTTTTCTTTTTATTGAGTGTATTGGTACAATCTAGGTATGCAATGCAGTTACATTCATCAATGGGATTCTGTACCTTTATATAATAGGTCTTGATTCTATTTTTTCCCCTTGTCCTTGCCCTCCCTTCACCCCCTCCTTCCTTCCCCATTTACAAACACTTTATTTCCATTTTTTTGTTTCTCATATTTTTTCCTCTCCTTTATTACCTTTCCCCCACCCTTCCCACTTTCCTTACACCTTTAGCCCTTTACTTCCTATTTCACATTATTAATTATCTCATTAGGATCCTGTGTACTATTATAGTTTTTCACACCAAAGAAACTATTCGGTATTTCAGTTAAAGAAATCTCTGTATGAACATTAAAAATAGGGAATCCTAAAATAAAACTAAAAAGGAAAGTAAAAGAGAAAAGGCAATGATGTAACATTAAAATAATCCTTAATTCTGGAGATGAAAATGGTCATCATGGGGTTATTTCTGTTATTATTAATTAAAAAATTATTAGTACATATTTTAAGCACATAAGATCTTGGAATTCTGAATCAGTAATATTTGGGTTTGGAAATCATTCAGGTTTGGCAATTTGTTAACCATGTGGCAGGGTAATCAAAATATGTGGTGAATGTTTAATTAAAAAAAAACTTACTACAGTAAAAGACACATTACCATTTTTCTCCTTTGAAAAACTGTCCCTTGCTCCAAACACACTCATCCCATTATTCTCGTCACTTTCTGAAGCAGTTCTGGGAGTCCTCTTTCGTGAGTGTCTTTACGAGACAGGTTAAAAAAAATACAGCGACTGGTGCCACCAAGTGTCATCCAATGGAAAGGCAGGCTTGTAAAAATATCAGCGCATCCTCATCCACCTCATTCACCAGATCTGGTACCACATGACTTCTGTCTCCCTTCCCACATCAAAAAGACATGAAAGGTAAATATTTTAAGTCAACTCAGGACATCGAGGAAGCTGACGAGAACAAGCCAAGAGCAAGGACAGCACAACTGAAGACACTCAGGAGAGGGCACGTCCAGATCTGCCTTAGCAAGCGTCAGTATCAGTGGGACGAGAAGGGGTGGGATGAGGCGGAGGGCTCTGAGGCGGATTAACGGCACTGTGTCTTTTACTGTAATACATTTTTAAAAACGTAAACATTTGCCATATTTTTAAAAAGAAATCACAGCTCATTTGTACTACTGAACTTCTTTGAGTCTCACGTTCCTTATCTGTGAAACTGGATTAGTAAAACCTGTCTCACAAAGAAACGAAGGAAGTTAACTCTACCACAAACAAGATGAACAGCACAACTTGATCATTTTGAAGCTACTTATGGAGACCTAGGAGGATGCCAGGTCCCCAGGAGGTGGGCAACTGGTATTGGTGCTTTCCTGACACCCTCTTCTGCTCTCTGGAACTCCGCATTCATCTTCAGACATCTCTAGCATCCTGATTTTTGAGTCTCTGAAAGCTCGTATCACATTTTTTTTTTTGACACTTATCTGAAAGATCATGTGCTAGAAAGACTCCTTCTCCTCACAGAACTGGGGATTGAACCCAGGGCTTTCATACTGAGCTATACTTACAGTTCTTTGTAAAATTTTTTTATTTTGAGACAGGATCTCAGTAAGTCACTAAGATTCCCAGGCTGGGCTCAAACTTGTAACCCTCCTGCCTCAGTCCCCCAGAGTGCGGGGATTAAATGTACCTGCCACTCTGCTCAGCTGATCAGGTCAGGCTTGCTATGAGCTTTTGGAAGCCAAGCCGTGGGTTGGGATGGAGAAGGCAGCAAAAGCACAGAAACCCCATGTGTCGTCCAGTTCTGGTTTCCCCTCCCGTATTGTAGACGTCACCTCTGATCCTAGCATCGTCGCAGTGAAGAGCTCAGGCCGAGTTCCCACCCCTGAGTGTTATCACCTTGCTCTTTCTCGTTACGCCGCAGCAGTTCCTTTAAGCTCCGAGCCTTTCTGTCACCACCACGGCTTGGGTCTCTGAACCTGCTCTTCATGCAAGTGTGCAGCCCAGTAGGGGGCAGGCAATGCCCCACCGGGGCAACTCCTAGCCTGTGGGCGTCAGTGACTGCGCTGTCAGCCCTTTCTTGGGAACTCCGGGGAAGCCTCTGGCCTGTTCCTCAGAAGGTCCCTGCAGACCAAGCCCCCCTGAAATGTCTCGACACCAGTGTTGTCTCACAGCTTTTCTTTCTTCCTTGCCTCAGTCTCTCCAGGCCCACACTCTGCTTCACGGGCGGCCCCCATCCCAATACAGTGCCTACGCCAGACCACTTGATTTGGTTTCCACTGTGGGTGAAACCTTAACCAAGACGCGTACACACTCACTTCAGTAACGTCTTGAAGTCCAGCCACCCATCTCGGCTTCTCTCAGACACAAGCAGCTTGAGTCTCAGAGCAGGGCAGTCGGCTGCCACAGCGTCCACTTCGTGGGCCACTTCGTCCCCAGCCACAATGGCCCTGGCCTTAGACGCCTGCAGCCTGTAGAGGATGTCTTTGGATTTCATCTGGACAGTCCCAGGCATGAAGACGAGGCCTGGAGAAACCAAACGTTTAGAAAGAGCTGGGAAGGAAGCTGGCCTTCCTCCCCAGGAAGCAGCCCCCGGAGGAGGAAGGGCAGGCAGCCACACACTCTTGGGGGGCGTTCTCTGGGGAGAGGTAGCCCCATCTCGCTGCCGTCCACGTCCTTCACAAGAGTGGGGGCCCCACTCTTAGTCAATCACCCACCTGCTCGCATGCAGCCCAGGGTCACCAGCCACCACTCGGGGACTCGGGGCAGCACTAGCGCCACGCGGTCCCCACGCTGCAGACTGCAGGGCCCCGCGAGGACATTGGCCGCCCGCTGACTCATTTCACTCAGTTCTCTGAAGCTCCACTTCACTTCGGCCTCTCCGCCATTCACCCACCACAGGGCTGGGCCCGGAGGTCGCTTGCCAGCCTGGAGGAGGGAGGAGAGGCCTGCTGGTGAGTGGATGTGGGCACAGCAAGGAGGACGGGCTTGAAGTTGTCACGGCTTGGTAGGCCCTTTGATCTCAGGACTCCTGCATACTCTGAGAAAGTGTGGAGCTGGGGGTGGTGGTCTATACCTGTCATCCCAGCTACTCAGGAGGATGCAGCAGGAGGATGGCAAGATTAAGCCCAACTCAGAAAGACCCTGTCTCATTATAAAACATAAAAAGAGCTGAATTGTACCCCAGGGTGAGGTTCAAACCCTAGTAATAAGAAAGAAAAAAAATCATTAAAATTCCTCAAGAGGTCTTTATTTATATGGGTTATGTCTATCAAAACTTATATCAGAAATTAAAACAGATTTTTAAAATGTATGTTTCAAAATAATATTGATATACCCATTGTACATTACCATGAATAGAACTTTTCAAGAAATAAAATATGCCCCCAACAGAGTAGCTATCATCAAGAAGTTAAATAATAACAAATGCTGGGAAGGATGTGGAGGAAAAGGAACTCTTTTACATTGTTGGTGGGAAGATAAACTAGTCAACCACTACAGAAATTGGTGTGGAGATTCCTCAAAAAGCTAAAATTGGAGATTCCATTTGACCCAGCTCTTTTCCTTCTAGATATTTTCACAAAAAGTTAAATATATCATATTGCAAGAACATATGCATACCTTTGTTTATAACAGCACAATTTGTAACAGCTGGATCTTGGAAAGGGCCCACATACTCATCAACATTGGAATGGGTTAAGAAAATGTGGTACTTATACACAGTGGAGTACTACTCTGCCATAAAGAAGGATAGATTTGAGGCATTTGTAGCTAAATGGATGCAACTTGAGACCGCAATATTAAGTGAAGCAAGCTAGACATGTGTTTAGATATCTCATGATTTCCGTTATATGAGAAACTCAAAAAATAATGTAAATGAAAAGCAAGATACAGGATAATTAAAGAGGAAGTAGGAAGGCCCTTTCAAGCGGATGGGGGAGCAAGATACGGAGGGAAGGAAGAGAGAGTGGAGTAAAAGGGGATGGAAAAGGAGAAGGGAAGGGAAACATGATGAAAACAGAGCTTCTGCAAACGGGTAGAGGACCAAGAGTTAGAGGAGGGAATAAAAAAAAAAAAAAGACAGAAAAGTTGAGGTGTGAGATGGCCACGTACCGACTTCCCACAATAACTGCAATCACTGTGTAGTACAGACACGTGCTAATAAAAAAGGATATTCCCCCAATCAAACAAACATTTAAGGAGAAAAGTGGCATCATTCTACATGTTTGCAAGCGTCCTGATGTCTGTCTCACGGGGAGACGCTCGCCTTCTCTCACGGACCCCTGCCTTCACCCTATTCTGTCAGTCACTGTGCACCTTCCGGGAAATGTCACCGTGTCCTTGTGAGAGAGTGAGAGCGAGGAGGGCACAAATTATCTGAGATTTTTATATTTAGCTTTGTAGAATTGTGGCTTTCTTTTACCTTATGATAAAATATGCATAACAAATTTGTCCTTTTAATTGCATTTTATCGTCATCATCATCAATCATTTTTAGTGCTGGGGTTGAACACAGTGCTGCTGACCTATACCCCCAGCCCTTAAATTTATTTTTTAAACTGATACATAAATATATAAAGTTCCATGTGATGCTTTGATACAAAAATACACTGTATAATGTTTAACACTTGTCATTTCTTTATGGTGAAGACATTCAGGATTCTCTCTTCTTGCTTTGCAAAATACACTGTTGTCACGATCTGTGGTCACCGCCCCACGCAACAACAACCCAGAGCTGCTTTCTCCCATCTATCTGTAACTGAGCGCCTACTGGTCAACCTGTCGCCCTCCTTTTCTCTCTCAGCAGGTGCACCGTTCAGGGTCGCTAAGTCCATTCACCTTGTGCAACCGTCACCACCATGCATCTTGGGAACTTTTTCATCATCTAAAACTCAAGCTTTGTCCTTATCCAAGTGACTCCTCAGCCCCTCTCCCCTCAAAGTTCTCGTGTGCTTTACTCTTATATGGGTGGGTTGTGCAGATTTTTAGGCTGAGCGACCGTTTGCATTTATTTGGCTTTTGACTGTCTGCTCATGTACTTGGCCCACACTTACACTGGGTTAAGCTTTTTTATTCTTGGATTCTAGGAGATCTTTTGTACTAGGGACATTGACTATTCTTTCTTTCATGGATTCAGAATTGTGAGCCATCATAGTAAAGGGCCTTCCTCAGAACACCAGCAAGGTGTAACTTTCAAATAGAATCCAGAAATCTAAATTTTTATTTGAAAAATTTCCATTTGAAAGTGTTTACCTAATCCTGCCCCCGCACCTCTGGTAGTGGGGATTGAACCCAGGAAGCACTGTGTTATATATCTCTAGCCCTAACCCTTTGTTTTGAAACAATGTCTCACTAAGTTGCCCAGCCTGGCCCCCACTTCATGATTTTCCTGTCTCAGTACAGGTATTCATCACTGCTCAACTAACTTTTACTTTTTAAGAACATCCCGCCTCTGGGTCCCATTTTCAGCCTAGAGGCCGGGGGTCTGCAGTCTCTCTACTAAAGTTGTGTCCAGGACAATGTTACAGCTCCCTTCGAGCATCATTGTCACGAGCCCGTGGTCGTAAAGCCGCCCCTTCTACTCTAGCCACGAACCCTCTCATCCTCCAGAACTGCACCTGGGCCTTCAGGGAAGGCAATGCCGGGGTCGTGTCAAGTGGGCTAGGATCTGAGGAGCTCAGGGACCGGGAAGAAACTCAGAAGTGTCTGCGTCACTTTGTTCCTGTGACATCTCACGCTGGAGCCGAGGATGCCTCAGCCTTGGGAACGTCTTACCTGCACCCTGATGGTAAAGATGCAGGACCTGGCATTTTTGGTTAGTGCTGAGTTGGTTTTATTAAATCCGAATCCATCTTTGCTATGACCCCGTCTCATGAGTCCATTTTACTTGGGAGCTGGTATAATGTGTCGCCTGAGGGTCACTGTGCACCAGACTCCTGTGTCTTCCTCAGCCCTCGCTGCCCTATGGAAGGCAAGCCTCTTGCTCATAGTTCGCGTAACAACCCTTCCGTCTACACTGAACGAATGGCTGAATTAATGAGGTCAGCTGAACTGTTTAGCCCTGTGCCTCCTCTCCACCTTGTTACCTTCTCCATGCCGGCCCACAGGTCTATTACATCGCTGGCAAAGTTGAACTTTGCGGGCACCTCCTGGCGGCCCCACAGCGCTGACGTCAGTCGCCTGACACTAACACGGAGAGGGTGGCTGGACATCTCAGAGGCCCTCACGGTGCAGAGTCGCTCGAGTTTCCACAGCCAACGCATATTCAGATCTGTGGAGAATAAAGGAGACAGGAGGGTCCTTTCTTGGTAGATGGCGGTGCTCATGGCCAGCTGCTTGGGAAGAGTCAAATTGACCTGACCTGTGAGTAGATTCACACTCCGCATCTGTCTCTCTCTCCTTCTGGTTTACTACTCTCCAAAGCCCCTCTCCAGCACGTCTGATTGCTTTGCAAGCATCCCAGTCTGTGTAATAAATCCTTTTGTGCTTAAAATGCAGATGGTAGATTGTACTGTCATTCCCAACAACTGGCTCCCTTCCCACAGCAGTGGGATTACACATTCCTGTCCATACAACCTTTCAGTGCAGTCTGCACCCTTTTCTACTGACTCTGGCCAATGGGATGAGAGTGGGTTTGTCAGACTCCTGCACCCCTGCCCTCTCCCAGACGGGCGCTACGCCACCAGCCTGGGCACTGCAATAATGAAACACGTGGAGTCGATCCTAACACGTCTCCTGCCAACCTTCAGACCCATAGGGGTAAAAACACATACACTTAGAAGCTACTGAAACATTTGTTAAAGCATCAACTGCTGATGAATACAAGTTGCCTCTATTTCTTTAAACTAAATCTTTATCCATATATATTAAGTCCTATGCACTTCTTGTACAGAACTCAATGTACAGGATCACTTTAGCAATCACGGCTGTTGCAATGATTGTTTCCAAGGGCACCGGGTCCAAGGAAAGCAATCCCAAATTTGGATTCGTCCATGTGCAAGTTGATGAGGTTGCAGGAATTAAGTGATTCAAAGAACCCAGCCGCTAGTCCTGGCAGTCCCTCCCCCTTTGTCCGTCAGCTGACACCAGAATACTCAGTCTGTGGCACCTATCTTGTCTCCTATTTTCTAGAAAAAAGAAGAAGAAAAGAAATAGGAGGTGAAGATTTCCTTACCGGGTCCTGGGCAGAAACATCTATTGCTTTTGTACCTGTCTCTTTCTATAGCTGGCTTTTTGCCATCCCTCTGGCTCCACCTTGCCAGGGGGGCCTCCTTCCCTGATCACCACCCAACTCTCACCCAACTCAGCCATTCTTCTCCCAGCTCCCCGCCCCCTCCCTTTGGCTGTGTTAAAGGCTCTGTCTCCTCCACCTCCTTGCTACGATCTTGAAGATTCTCCCTTTTGCAGCTTCTAGGAACTGTGGGCTCTTTCTTCTGGGGATTTTCACCCTCCTTGCTTGTGGTGACTCCTAAGACTGACAGGCATCCTCACGAGGCCTGACCCCATCTTTCAATTCCTTCCAGCAGCACTCACTTGCCAAGTCCTCTCCGGAAGCCTCTCTGGAAACAGCTTATTCTGTTCTCCCTTTGAAGAAGCAACTTCAGGTTCCCTGCAGCCAGGAGGTCAGGGCAATGATCGTACAGCCAACTCCCGAGTCAGCTTCCCGCAGCCTGGGTGCACAGCACAGCTAATCATTAATGACGGACACCCCCAGAGGCTTGTTTTAGCCAACACCACAGTCCCTCTGGCCAAGTTTATGGGGCAGCAAAGACCTACAGCCTTGGGGCCAATTGAATGTGCTCCTTTACCCAAGGGATCAAGAGGAGATTTATAGCCAGGATTGACAGCAAAGTAATTGCTGAGGGAGAGAGAAATGACGTTCATCTGGCCTCACGAGGCCTCTGTCTCCTCTTTAATCTTTTCCCTCCCTTGTCTTCCCGCAAGCCTGTTTGCTTGGTTTGCTCTTTCCTTCAGCCTTTCTTTGAGGATTCCTCCACATCTCTTGTGCCTACACTCACCTTACCCATGATTTCATCCAGTGTCCATGGCTGGGACCCAACTGCCTTGCCAGGGACCCCCATAGGTCTCTGAATTTTTCTCCTGCATCCCAATCTTCTCCTCTCCACTGGGACATTCTGATGGGCATTTCCAACATATGTGTTCCGAGCTGAGTCCTGATCGCGTCCCTTTCTGTCAATCATCCACCCACTTCTATCATCTCAGCCATCTCAACACATGGTAACCCATCTCAGCGCTGTCTTCCTACATGAAACCTCGGTCTCCCCCGTCTCTTTTATGCCGGATCTAGCAAATCCACCAACACCACCTTCAAACTGTATCTAGAGTCCGTCTTATTCTCTTCCCTGTCCCAAATCACCATCTCCTCTCCAGGACAGTATTTTGTAGCCTCTTTCCTAATCCCCTTTGGGCCTCACCCCAAAGCCCTGTGGTTCTGCTCCAAAGGTCTAAAGTTTACTCTCACGTCGATCTACTCTTCACTGACCAGGACAGTTTGTGAGGTAGAAAGTACAGGACATGAGAATCAGACATCTTTTCTAACCTGACTCCACTTCGTACTATAGGGTGATCTCACCCAGCCTCGGTTTCCCCATCTGTAGAGTAGGACTCACGCTGGCTGCTCTCAGCAGGTGAGCGTGAGGATGTGGGGTGATGCTTCTACAGCACTTAGCATCCTCAGAACATCTCAGAAGAGCGCTCAGCTTTGCTGGAGCTGATCACAAATCCAAAACACTAAGGGATTTTCAGATCCAGAGTGAGCAGTAACTTGCTTGTGGTCAGTCAGTCACCAGTCCAGGCCTGGAGCCTTAACCCCCAGAGGAACGCCCTTCACCCATGTCACTGGGTCAGAGTGGATCATCAGGCAACAGTTGGAAATCAGAGGGCTTGAGCTGCTCGGATGAGATCTTTTCCAGGAATGCCCACCATGTGGATAAATATCCTGGCCAGATCAGGATCTGTAGGCATCACAGACCAATGTGTGATCCTGCATCTTTCCAGACAAACAGGGTGAGCTTTATGCCACTGTTTCCACATGGCCAGTGATGGGACCCCTTAAATGCTGGTTCCCATTGGAGACCCAAACTTGGACTCATACACCATTAGGCCAGGGCAGGATGGAGGTGCCAGATAACTACAAGTAACGATTTGTTGAGGACATAAAGGGACAAGGACTCACATCAAGGGACATCTTGGGGAGCTGGAGGTCTTGAAGGCCCTGGAAGCCTGGGTCCAAAAGGGACTCAGGAGAAAGAGGAGAGGGGTCCACCTGCAGAGGGTACAACAGGCACTTTGAGCACCTTCCCTCCTCTCTCCAGGCCAACCATAGGAACCACAGAGCTGGCTGATGCTCTTTCTGAAGTGCGGCAGCCACGGCCTGGCAAAGGTCCCTCACTCACCCTGGGAAATGCGTGGAATTCCGTCTGCTGGCCTTTTGCTCTCCAGTCTTGAAGGCATCTGTCGTTCCTTCTTCTGCACCCTTGGAACAGGTGCTTCTCAGTGTTTCCAGGAGATCTCTTGCATACCCTCCCAGGAAGTTCTTCTCCATGTCTCCCTTAAGTTGCTCTTGCTCCTCCTCCTCAGTGCCCCACACCACTTGCACATGGGAGGTACCCAGAGCCTGAGGTCAGCTGGACACCCCTTCCCTCGTTTCTAGCGATTGCTTTGATTCTGAACAGCTCACCACAGATGGGAGGGAGTAGGGTACCCAGACCTAGACCGGGAATCTAAACATGCCAAAGAAGGCACCTGACTTGTTCTGATCCCCTAAGGCTCCATTTAGAGACTTTAAGAAATATAGTTAGCTGAGTATGGTGGGCTTTTGTAATCCTACCTACTTGGGAGACTGAGGCAGGAGGATCCCAAGTTTGAAACAAGCCTGGGCAACCAACACTCCTAAAAAAAAGCAAGCTGCATCCGTCTTCTGCTTGAGAAAGGGAAGTTGTGTTCTCTGAAGGAATATGGGGATGAGATTTACCTCCTTAGCACTTAGGGGTCTTTTGAGGGTCACAGGCTCTCTTTGGTCCACCAGGGGTCCAGAAATGCCCCACTATTCCTGCCACTCTTTCGCCTTTTAACACATCCTCCATCCTTCTTGGGTGCCAGAAGTGTTCACCTCTGCCAGACTTATAATCCTTTCCTAGATGGGGAACAGGTATGGATTTCACTCCACCATTCCTGCTCACTTCTCCCATCCTTATATGTTTCTCTCCTAAGTCTTGATTCATGCTTTCTTCTGCATATGGTAGGTACTGCCTCTCTCCTCTTCTTTGAACAAAGACTGGCTGATTCCTGGGCTCTGGAGGTAGCGGCTTTTTTTCCTATAACCAGGTGGTAGAGCCTTGGGGGAATGCACTAAGAGACTGAAATCAGATGTTTAGGTTTGAGTGTGGGTTCTCTGCCACTGAGCTGCGTGCCCAGGAAGAAGTTATGTTACCCCACCCGAGCCTGTTTTCTTGAAAGAAAGTGAGGCAAATCCTAGGGCCTCTTAGACACGTGAGCCTTGAATTTGATAATGCAAATCCAGCATCCAGTCACTAATGTGTGTAGAAAGCTCTGGTCTGGTGCACTAGAAATTGCTCAACACAGTTGTTTTCTGAGAGAGCAAGTTAAAGTGTTTCTTCTTTAAAAATCTGCTAATTCCAACTCAAGCTCTTTACTTACTTGTTTAAAATGTAAAGCAGTTAAGCTTTTAAAACAACAAACACATTGTACAGTGTAATTACTCAATAAACAGAAGAAAATTCAATTAAGAATGGGAGACTCAGAGTGATTCTGGGCTCTATACCTACACACAGCACAGACAGAGGCTCTGTGGACCACAAACCTCCCCATGGACCTCACAGATGCGACAGATTTGGGATGCTCAAGGTTGTGCAAATGGAAGGAAGCTCAGGGAAAAGTCTTTTGTCCTCCCAGAAACTGAGGCAAGAAGACCCACAGACTCATTTTGTCCTGGGCTTGTAGAGATGACTTCCAGAAGACAAGCCACGGAATGCTGTCTATCTTGTCCGCTAGTCAGGCAGCATTTATCAAGTGCTGCTATCAAATAGACCCAGAGGTGACCAAGATGGACCCGTTCTGGTTGGGAGATAATATAGACAATAGCATGGAAAAGGATTTAGTTCATTTAGATACTGTTAAGGGTTAAGTCAGAAGTCAGATCACGACAAATAGTTGTTCAGGACCTACCAGTCCATCTTGATTTTACACCACAATAAGCATCAACATTTTGACCTCAACCCGCAAAACCCTTTTGACTTCCACACTCACTCTTTATCCTTTCTGACTGATATCCTTCCACCCCTCCCTGCTACCAGGTACCCTATTCCTTAATGCTTATAGAGTGGACTTAATGTTACAGAACTGATGTTTTTTAAGCTATTTTTGCCCTCCGCCTCACTGCATGAGATGAAGCTTTCTGAGGACAGAGATCTTTGCCCGTCTTCAGGATTTAGCTGAAGGACGCAGGCGGAACCTAGCACAGAGTGACAACACAGTGACTGTGTGAGCAGATGAACGAATGCTGTGGAGAAAACAACCCCTGCGGACACACCGGCCTGAAGAGTGACTGTGTGAAGCACCGTAGCTGTGCGTGACGGCCCCGATGCCTGTGTGTGCAGGTGCGCGTGTGGTTGTGTACACAGTTGCCATTTATGTGTGGCTCAGTGCTTGCATGAGTGTGTGACTGTGTGCGTGTGTTTGTGAAATGAGTGTGAGTGCATGAGTGTTAGACTGTGTGCGTGCGTGTGTGTGTTTTAACTAATGTATTCAGCTTATTCTTTACTCATAAAAGGGCATATTTTTGGCTTTGAAATCATGACATAAATAAAGCATATAAATGAAAGTTCCCAACTGAAAGTAGGTAGAAGCAACTCATGCTAACCCACCAGCCAATACTATGTGCTTTGGGGCTCCAGCAGTGGCACCAGCCAGCAAGGACCAGATGCATGGCCAACCTTACTCCCAATCCTCCTGAGTTCCCGGAGGTTGCTTGGCCAACGCACGCAGGAAACGCGTCCTCCCTTTCTCCTGCTTGTTCGTGTGTGTTTTGCAAGGTGACTTCAGACCAGCAGTTTTCAGGACTTCTCCTTTTCTGCCTATGACAAAGTGAAAGTATGTCCTTTAAAAGTGAGTTAACTTTGACATAGACGTTACAAGGATTGAGCTCCAGTCATGAAGGAACCAGGAAGAATTGAGAAGAACTGAGTGGATGGATTTCAGCAGATCCCTCAGCAGCTGCTTGGCACAGAGTAAGTTCCCAATGCAGCCACGGGGCTCAGCGGTTGTCGCTGCCGGTACCCAGGGGCTTCCGAGGCTGTGAGGGTGGGGGTCCCTGCTCCCTGTGGCACGGCTGTGACTGTGACAGGAGTGTTGTCTTTCTGACTGTGGGGTTCAGCTGGGTGAAAGTCACTTTGTAGCCAGGTTGGCCGGGAATCAATCTGGTGTCGGCAGGGAGGCCCTGGGGCAGGGAGGGGCTTGGGCCATCTCAGCCCTGCTCCATGCCTGCTGCAGTGTGAACCAAGGCCCCAGTGCAGCTCTGATCACAGCTGGAGAAGAACAGAGTGCCCTGGGCTGTAGAGCTGGGAAGAGGGTTCAGAGGCCACCTGGCAAGAGTGACATTCCTTCCATCTGAGCTCCACTTTCAGGGAACGAAGAGAGAGGTAGCAGAGTTAGCTCTGCCCCTCTGATATTCCGGGGCTCAGGAATCCTAGCTGTGTCAGACGAATGAGCCCAGTCTTTCAACCCCACAGCCCTAAAGATGGTGAGGCTCAGGGACTGAACGATTTCCTCACCTCTGGCTCCCCCTGCTGTTGGCTTTAGGAAAAACCCCAAAGCCCTCAAGTTTCCTAAAGAAAATTTGTACTCCTTGACAAGGCCCTGAAGACAAACGGCAGAGAAAGCAAATAAATTGCTCTAGTACATTTGGTTTTAAGAGGAATATTTAAATTTAAATTTTTGGAAAGACAAAATTTCTCAATCAAGCCATGCTGAACTGTGAGGCATGAAGGGTATGGACATCAGAGCCAGATCACCTGGGTTTGAATTCTAGCTGAGAGACTCTCATTATCTTTGAGAGGTGTGACAAAAATGTGGTGAATGATATTATGAGACCATAGTGCAACTAAACTGGTGATTGATAGCATAAAAAACTGCAAGAACTTCACAAACACATGGAAATTAAATAACACCCTGCTGAACAACCATTGGGTCACAGAGGAAATTAAAGAAGAAATTAGAGCATTTCTACAATTAAATGATATTGTCAATACAACATATAGAAATATCTATGGGACACAATGAAAGCAGTTCTACAAGGCAAATTTATGGCCTATAAATGCCCATACAAGGGAAATAGAGCAAGCTCAAATAAACAACCTAATGCTTAACCTTAAGCTCCTAAAAAAAGAAGAGCAAAACAAACTGAAAGCTCATACAAGGGAGGAAATTATGAAGATGAGAGCCGAATTTAATGCAATGGAGACTAAGAGAATGATACAAAAAAAAAATCAATGAATCGGAGAGTTGTTTTTTTAAAAGAATAAATAAAAATGATGAACCCTTAGCCAACCTTATCAAAAAAAGGAAAGAAAAGGCTCAAATTTATGCAACTAGGAATGAAAAAGGTGAAGTCACAACAGATCCATTAAAAATCCAGAGAATCATCAATACCTACTTCGAAAACCTGTACTCTAACAAAATGGAAAATACAGAAGAAATGGAGAAATTCCTAGATACATATGAACTTCCAAAGTTTAACAAAGAAGATATAAAAAGTCTAAACGCCCCAATGACATTCAGCGAAATTGAAAATGTAATTAAAATATTACCAACAAAGAAAGCCCAGATCCTGATGGCTTCATACTGAACTCTACAAGACATTTAGAGAAGAATTATTGCCACTACTCTTTAAACTCTTCAACGAAATTGAAAGGGAGCAGTGCATGGCGGTACATGCCTGTAATTCCAGCACTTGGGAGGCTAAGGCAGGAGGATCACTGTGAATTCAAGATCAGCCTGGGCTACATGGTGAGATCCAGGTCAGTCTCACCTACATAGTGAGACCCTATCTCAAAACAACAACAACACAAAATTGAAAGGGAAGCAATACTTCCAAATTCATTCCTGGAAGCAAGTATTACTTTGATTCTAAGACCAGGGAAAGACCCAACTAAAAAAAAGAGAACTACAGGCCAATCTCCCTAATGAACATAGGTATGAAAATCCTCAATAAGACACTGGCAAACAGAATACAGAGGGTCATCAAGAAGATCAGACACCCTTATCAAGTCAGATTTATCCCAGGGATGCAAGGATAGCTCAACATACATAAGTCACGTAATAAATTATATTAGCAGAGTCAAGGACAAAAACCATATGATCATCTCAATAGATGCAGAAAAATCATTTGACAAAATTCAACACCCATTCATGATAAAAACTCTACAGAAAACTGGAATAGATGATCTTTATCCCAACCTGACAAAGGCTGTCTATGAAAAACCAACAGCTAATATAATACTAAATGGTCAAAAACTGAAAACCTTCATGTGAAAATCAGGAATAAGACAAGGATGTCCACTATCACCACTCCTGTTCAATATAGTTCTAGAAACATTAGCCACAACAATTAGATGGGCAAGAAATAAAAGGAATAAAGAAAGATAGGAAAGGAAGAAGTTAAACTTTCACTATTTGCTGATGATATGATACTCTACATAGAAGACCAAAAACAAACAAACAAAAACAGCACTCTGCCAAAAGACTTCTAGACTTAATTGATAGATTCAGTAGAGTAGCTGGATACAAGGTCAACACTCAAAATTCAATAGCCTTCATGTACACAAATAACAGACTCACTGAGACAGAAAACACTTGCTTTTACAATAACATCAAAAAAATGAAGTATCTAGGAATCAATCTAATGAAGGAGACAAAAGACCTCTACATTGAAAACTACAACACTCTGAAAAAAGAGATAAAACAGGATATAAGAAAATGGAAAGATATCCCTTGCTCCTGAGTAGGAAGAATTAGCATAGTGAAAATGGCCATACTTCCAAAACTTCTATACAGATTCAATGCAATCCCAATTGAAATCCCAACAGTATATTTCACAGAATTTGAGAAAACAATCCAGAAATTCATTTGGAACCAGAAGAGACCTAGAATATCAAAAGCCATTCCAGGCAACAGAGACATGGCAGTGGGTATCACAATTCCCAACTTGAAACTATACTACAAAGCCACTGTGATAAAAACAGCATGGTACTGGCAAAGAAACAGACCTGAGGATCAGTGGAACAGATTAGAAGATGTAGAAACAACACCAGACATACTCAGCTACCCCATCTTTGAAAAAGGAGACAACCATCCTCACTGGAGGAAAGATAGCCTCTTTAATAAATGGTGTTGGAAAAGCTGGATTTCAACTTGCCAAAGACTGAAACTAGACCCGTGTCTTTCACCATGCACTAAAGTAAAATCCAAGTGGATTAAAGATTTAAATATCCAAACAGAAACCCTAAACTTACTGGAAATAAATTAGGTAGAACTCTTGAAGACATTGGTATAGGAGAAGTCTTTATGAACAAATCCTCAGGAGCATGAGAACTTGCACAAAGAATCAACAACTGGGATCTTGTATTAAAAAGTTTTTGCAAACAAACAGAGTTAAGAAACAACCTACTACATGGGAAAAAAATTTTACCAGCTACTCTTCAGACCAAGGACTACTATCTAGAATATATAAGGAATTCAAAAAATCAGATCCCCCAAATACAAAGACCTGATTGAAAAATGGGCATCTGAAATGACAGACATTTCTCAGGCAAAGGAAGTAAAAGCAGCAAATAAATATATGAAAAAATGTTCAACATCACTGGTAATTCAAGAGGTGCAGATGAAAACAATACTGAGATTCCACCTTACCCCAGAAAGAATGGCTGCTCAAGAAATCAACCAATAACAAATGCTGGTGGGGCTGTAGGGAGAAAGGAACCCTTCTCCACCGTTGGTGGGAGTGCAGACTGGTGCAACCACTGTGGAAATCAATATGGAGATAGCTCTACAACTAGGATTAGAGGTTCCATTTGACCCAGCTATCCCTGTGCTTGGTATCTTTCTAAAAGAATTAAAAGAATCATACCACAGTGATATATGCACACCCATGTTTATAGCGGCACAGTTTGTAATAGCTAAAGCTTGGAAACAGCCCAAATGCCCATCAACTGGAGACTGGATAAAGAAGATGTGGTTTTTCCTGTAAAATGGAGTACTCAGCTGTAAAGAATGAGAAACTAGAGGCATTTATAACAAAATGGATGCACATTGAGGCCATACTGAAGTGAAATAAATAAGTGAAATAAATTTGAGTAAATACTGAATAGTTTCGCTGGGCTGAAAAACTAAAAGTGTAAATAAGGTTCAAATGGTGTAACTGATAGGGTGAAATAGGAAGAAAAGGGCTAAAGGGGACGTGGGAAGGGGAGGGGAAAGGAAAGAAGGGAAAACAAAAACAGGAAAAAACGGAAACAAAGTCTTCGTAAATAGGGGTGAAGGGAGTGAAGGGGGTGAAGGGAGGGCAGGGGAATGGGGACAAAATGAGAACCAAGATACATCATGTAAAAGTGTAAGATCCCAATGATGAACGTAACTGTATTGTTTGCTTTAAATGTGAACAACAGGGGAAAGAAAATGTCAGTGCTGCCGCTCCTGCTGCTGCTGCTGCTGCTGAACTCACTGTGTAGCCCAGGCTGGTCTCGAATTCACAGCGATTCTCCTGCCTCAGCCTCCCGAGTGCTGGGATTACAGGCATGCGCCACCACACCCGGCCCTTATTATTATATTTTTAAAAAATTAAACATTCCCCATGTTATTTTAAATCACACTGCATAAGTTTTCTTTATGGCATTTACCACAGCTGTGCATTCACTGTCATTATCCTGTGATAAGTGATTTCTGCTTCACGGAGTAAGCACCATAAGACTAGTTTCATGGGCCGAACGGTCTCCCCTCTCCCCCCTCATCCATGTGCTGAACTCCTAACCCAGGACCTCTGAGTGTGACTGTATTTGGAGACAGGGTCTTCAAAGAGGAGGTTAAGTCAAAGTGAGTTCACAGAGTGGGCCCTGACCCAATAGGACATGGCAGGTGTCCTCATACGAACAGATTAGGACCCAGAGCTGTGCACAGAGGAAAGAGACGGGAGAAGGTAGCAATCTGCAGTTGACCATGGAGGAGGCCTCGGAATGACATCTGCCAACTCCTCCATCTTGAGGCTGGAGCCTCTGGAGTGTGAGTGAACAAACCTTCGTTAAACAGCCGGCCGGTGAGAGTCGGTTGTGGCGGCCTAGCAAGCTCATACAGGTAGGGACGGGGTTGGCGTTTGCTTAGCCTCAGATTCCCAGATCCTGGTGCCGAGAAGGTGCTTGATGCATATGAACTAGGGAGTGGATGGAGGTGCTGGGAGTTCGGTGGGGCACCAAGGTGGTCTGAGGGCCCATCAGCTTCCCCTCCGTGTGGCTGGTCTCTGCCGTCCCAAGCTGGAGGCTGGGAGTGGACTCAGGCCTGCTCTTTGGGCCCTTCCAGGGCATCACATAACGCTGGCCTCCAGGATGGAGTGTGCGTACATGAGGCGTGAGCTGGATAAGAGCCCATGTGCAGTTTTGGGAGGTTGTTTCTCTGAAACAGCTTTTTTTTTTTTTTTTTTTTTTTTTTTTTGTGGTACCAGGGATCGAACTTGAAGCAGCTTTTTTATTATAATAGTTTTAGATACTTATTAAAAATATTTGGAAAGTACAGCAGTGTACAGAAGGAAGGAAAAACTGACCATCTTTTATTTTTTCCCTCCCTCCTCAAATCCCAGGAAAATTACTACTAACATTTTAGTGTATTTCCTTTTAGTATGTTTCCCCAGCTATAGTTTTACTTTTTCCGCCCAGAGTTGTGATTCTCCATTTTGCAAATAATTTTCATTCTACTTAAAAAATTTAATATAGCTTGTTTTCCCCAAGACATAATAAACTATCCTTGAGTACTTCCAATAGCCATATAATATGCTATTGATTTAACTGATGATACCTCAATAATCTTTCCCGTTGTTTTGACACTGATTATTGTTTTATTTATGTTTTAAACAATGCTGCAGTGAACATCTTTGTGCACCAAATGTTTTCTACTTTTTTTCTTTTGCACTATGGGGGAGTAAGCCTAATGCTTTTGCACTGAGCTATATCCCCTGGTTTTTTTTTTTTTTTCTCCCTATGAGACAGAGTCTCATTAAATCTCTAAGTAATCCTCCTGCCTCAGCCTCCCAGAGCTGGAATTTCTAAATTAAAGGGTGTGACCAGTTTTATGACCTGGATGCTACTACCAAATGGCTTCATCCCAAAGGCTTTTTATCCCACGTGAGGGATGGCACACAACTCGTCAAGGCTATGGCAACCCATCAGTCCTTGGGCAGCTGGGATCTCTTAGTAAGACCAAGGAGTAAGACGCTGGGGACACCTCCAGGCAGCAGGGCATTTGCTGGACTGGGCTGCGGCTCTGGGCTCTGGGTCAGTGATGTTTGTCCTTTCTTCTCCAGGGATCCTGCAGTGATCCTGGAGAAGCCCACTTAGAAGCCACTTAGAAGCTGAGCATCTTGATGTCTGTGAGGTTGAGGGGACGATGTTCTGAGCGGGGGCTGACAGGGATCCCAGCATTTCCTGGAGCACCCAGAGGGCTGTGAGGCTGGGGTTACACGTCATCTCCCCCATTCTTGGTCTCTCAATTTACTCCTTTGGATCTTTCCAGAAACTGTCTTTGGCAGCTCTGAAACAAAAGCCACCTAGTGGCCAGAAAACAAACAGAAAGCTCTCACGAATCATTTCCCCAAGAGACAAGCGAAACGCTGCCATTTCTTGGAAAGCTTCCACGAGCCAGGCTTTCCCCCAAGTGCCAACAATCCAAGCAGCTAGAGCCCAGGGCAGGCAGTCTCTCGGCACCTTGGCACCACCCCTGCATCTGACGGACAGGCCAGTTCTTAGAGGAGAAGCGCAGCGCGTTCCGGGGAGGGCGGGGTAAAGAAACACGGAGACAAGCTGGGTGAGGGGGTGCATGTCTGTAATCTCATCACCCTGGGAAGACGAGGCGGGAGGGTCACAAGGTCAGAGCCAATTTAACGAGACTCGTTTCAAAATAAATAAAAAGGGTTTGGGGTGCAGCTCGGTGGTAGGTTACTGCTGGATTCATTCCCCAGTACTGAAAGAAGGTAGAAAGGAAGAGAGAGGCGGGGGAGGGAGGGAGAGAGAGGAGCGCAAGCGAAAGCGGCTGCAGCGGGAACTGGCGGTATATGTACCTCTGCCTCTGTCTTTCCAGTATGTGGCATGGAGCCTGGCCCTGCAAGGGAGCCAGGCAGCACGCGGTCGTCTGATCTCCTGGTTTGTTTGGACCTAGAACTTCGGGGGCTCACCTTCCTGGGGTACTTGTAGGGAGCCGTCACCCTCTTCACATGCTCCTGGAGTTCCCGGGTCAGTGCCTCCGGGTCATGGGAGGAGTAGGCTGGAGAGAGGACTACGAAGGCCTTCACCACCTGCAAAGACCCCAGCGACACTCAAGCCTCTCACTCAAGCCTTCTCTAGCCGCTCTCCTCTCCTCAAGCCAGCCTTGCAGCCAGGCGCTTCATTTCCTAGCCCTTCCGGAAGGCTCTGCTCATTCCACGGGCACAGCTGGCGAAACGGACAGCACAGATTTCTCCACTCTCTGCTTTTCAGGATCCACTATGGGAAGCGCCGGCTTTGTGGAATGAGCTCTGAGGCCCATTTGCCAAGCAAGCCCTCTGCCTGCCAGGACCCCATTAGAAGGCAAAGTCATCTCTCTTTAAGACACAAACGCGTTGGAAAAAGGAGCTTCACAGACTCCTGTGGCCACTTACTTCCAGCTTTCCCTGACTAGGACGATAGTGGGGGATGGGTTCAGGCAGGCAGAACTGGAGGACAGGCAACCACTTTCAAGGGCAGCTGTATTTTGCGTTTTGGCTGTGTGTGGGGGTAGGGAGTAGGTATGAATGTTTGCAATCAACAAATATTGAGCCCTAGTACTTCTGTTCCGAGCATCCTGAAGACACCGCACCTTGGCTTTCTCCACCTGGGTTTCTCCTATAAGCTGCCTCCTATGCCTCAGGAAGAAGACCTTATGCCCAGGCTTAACTGAGTAGGGTTTCTCATAGGAATGAAAAACCTCAAATGGCTATTGGGTTGCAGATCCACACTAGCCTCAAACTCTGCCAACATCTTGTTCCGGGGCAGGCTGTGGTCCTTGCACACTGCTCAGGGGTGGGGAGGTCACTGTCATTTCACATTCAGGCAGATCTGGCTTCTGGCAAGCACTCTGCCGTACCATGAAAAACACTGAATTTTTATCGAGCACTTGGTCTGTGTTAGGCTCTATTCTAAGCATTACACATGAGCTAGCTTTGAGGATACAGCCATCTGTTTCAGCTCCAGTGAATTCACAGCCTGCCCAGCAAGGTGCACTTTTCCAGGAGTACCTCCTCCAGCTCAGCTGAGACTCACGTCTCCCCCATCCTATCTTCCTGGGATCACAGTTTCATGCAGAATCATTTGGCCAAGGGGCTGCTGGCTAAAATGCCAGTGCTCTGGGCTGCAACCCCGATCATTCTGATTCAGCAAGTCTGACGCAAGGTCTACAGATCCGTGTCTGTGCAATGCAGCTGTGAACAGTCTGGGGACCAGACCTTGAGAGTCACCCCTCCAGCTCGGAGACTTCCAAGGAGAAAATGCTGTTGCCACGCCAGCTTTCACAAGACAGCTGTGTCGTACTTTAAGATTATGTGGGATTTGTAGCCAGTGAAAATATATAGGTCCGCCTATTAGCTGGTCTTTCCCGTTCCATCTATTCATCTGGGATGCACAAAAAGGAATTTGTATTTCTCCTGTAAAGCCCAGCTTATTACCCTCGGCTAGCATTTCTGGTGTCTCAAGGCCATTGAGGTTGGGTATTCCGGCATCTCCCAAGCTATCTGTTCCTCTTGGGTGAGAGCCCTCAGCCACATGTCTCGTACATTCACTGCATCCTCATCTGCAAAGCGCAAAGGACTTTTTATTGGACAGAGTGGAAGATGGAACCCACATCTGCCACCAAGAACTCCTGCCCCACAGCCTCTCTGAACCCAGTTCGGTGGCCCCTCCGAATGAAAGTTTGCTATTTCCCATCATATCCCTCTAGAAAGCACATGTGTAAGGGCATGAGGGTGACGCCTAGTAAAAGGAATGTGCGGCTGCTGGTGTATTTGGTGTGCTGCACGGGGGTGAGATGTACAGGGGCTCTGGCCCTTCCTGCTTGCTCTGCTGGGGGCCAGTAGCACGGAAGTAGGCAGCCACATTCTTAGTTGGTCTTCTTACCTCCCCTCGGATGGGGTCTGGGCTGCTGACCACAGCACACTCAAGGACAGCAGGATGTTCGGCGAGGACACTCTCCACTTCAACAGGTCCAATGCGGTAGCTGGAAGAGAAAAACAAACGTTTCCAAGGGGCCTTCTTCCCCTCCCAAAGTGCAGAGCGTGGAGGAAGAGCAGGTAGCTTTACCTTGAGGAGTTGATCACATCATCATTTCTTCCCGTGAACCAAAAGTAGCCATCTGTGTCCATGCGGCCTCGGTCCCCTGTGATGTAGAAGTCTCCTCGTTCCGATGCAGCTGTCTTCTCAGGATTGTCCTGGAAGATACAGGAAACCCATAAAGGACCACCTGAGCCAGCCATTCAGGGCCGCTCCTGCCACGGCAGCTCTGTGTGGGGGGCTGGGGAGCCCCCAACAAGAAGCCCAGCAGTTAGTTCTGAAATTGTGCCGGTCAGAATGTCCCCTGGGCAGGGAGTATGGTCCTGTGAGTTTGTGGGTTGCCCTCTTAATTTGAAGGGAGCTGCCAGGAAGTGATTCAGGGTGGGCATATGTGGTTCTGGATAAAAAATACACCTGAGGTAGAAGACAGAGTGTGGGGTTGGCTGAAAGACCTACTGAAAGACAAGGGTGGGAGAAAAAGATCACAAACAGCAAACTGTGATTCTCAAAGCTTTAAAGAAAAGGCTATGAGTGGGGTTGTGGGGAGAAAGGAACCCTTCTTCATTGCTGAAGGGAGTGCAGACTAGTGCAACCACTGTGGAAATCAATATGGAGATACCTCAGACAACTGGGATTAGAGATCCTATTTGACTCAACTATTCCCCTGCTGGGTATCTTCCCAAAAGAATTAAAAGAATCATACCATGGCGATATATGCTGACCCACATTTTTAGCGGCACAGTTTGTAATAGCTAAAGCTTGGAAACAGCCCAACTGCCCATCAGTTGGAGACTGGATAAAGATGTGTGTGTGTGTGTGTGTGTTTGTGTGTGTGTGTGTGTGTGTGTGTGTGTGTGTTTTGTAAAACGGAGTACTACTCAGCTATAAAGAATGAGAAACTAGAAACATTTAAAGCTAAGTGGACACACATTGAGGACATACTCTTAAGTGAAATTAATAGGACACACGTGTGTAACTAATAGTTTTCTGGTGTGATAAACTAAAAGTGTAAATAAGGGTCAAAATGTATAATTGATATTTTGTAATAGGAAGAAAAGGTCTAAAGGTACTGGGCAAATGGGAGGGGTAGGAGAAGATAAAAAGGGAAGAGAAAAAAATAAGAGAAAAGGAAAAAATGGGAACAAAGTCTTTATAAATACGGAAGGGGGCAGGAGGGAAGGGAGGCTAGCAGAATGGAGAAAAAACAAGAACCAAGGTAAATTGTGTAAAGGAACAAGATCACAGTGATGAATGTAACTGTTCTGTACACCTAAAATGTACCAATAAAAAAATTTTTTTAAAAAGAAAAAGTTACTACTGGGCAATAAAAAGAAAGAAATTCCAAATACATGCAACAATATACCTGACTGCCAAGCATATTATGCTGAGTACAGGAAACCAGACACGTAAAAGTGGGTATTCTATGATTCCATTTATATGTTTCTTTTAAAGGTAAAATTATTGTATAGTGACAACAGATAATCTATCAAGTGCTTAGGGTCCAGAGTAGGGAGAATGACTGTAAAGGGGCACCCAGGAACTCTGAGGGGTGACAGTAACGCTCTGTACCTTGAGTGTGCTAGTGGTAACACAGGTGCATACGGTTGTCAAATATCACTCACTTAACACGGGTGCATTTTTTTGGTAGGGAAATTATAAAATTATACCACAATTCCAAAATGCATTTTCAGAAAAAAGGAAAATCTGTACGGTGCATACACAGAAAAAAAAAAGGTACAGGATTTTAAAGATGATATAAATGGACAGAAAGATGGAAAGAATTTGTACACACACACCGAATGCAACCCCGATTAGAGTGCTTACAAACATTTTCACGGAACTCGACAAGTGCATTCTAAAACGTATGAGGTGTGATTCCAAAGACCCAGAGTGAATGTTTAAACTTCCAACAATTACTACAGCAGAGGACACATCGCCACCAATCCCCTCAACACATTTCCCGTCACTTCAAACACACTTATCCCATTATTCTGGCCACTTCCTGGAGAATTCTGGAAGCGTCCTCTTCTTGGGTGTCTTTGGTTGTGCTGTCGTAGCTGCTTGGACGTCCCGCATTTATTCAAAACGTTTACTTTGCACGGTGACGTTGGCTTTGAGAAGGACACAGAAGTTGCCAAACCCAGGCAACCAGGACACAGTGTAATGTTTTTACAACACTGCCTTTGCACTGGATGGCATTTAGCAGAACCATTCGCTGCATTTCTGACCGCACCTCACAAGGACAGTGGTGAAAGAGGACTTGCAGAACTGCTTCCAGAAGTGGCAGTTCTAGGGGTAAGGGTGTTCTAAGTGAGGGGCAAATACTGGGTATAAAATTGACATAGGCACATTAGTTCAATCAGTATTGCAATTTCAGCCATTTGGGGCTGGCCAACACCAGCTTGGAAAATGCACACTTACCACAGGGCAGGGTGGGTTTAACATGTCAGGAACTTAGACTATCAATGTGTAATGGTGCATTATTTCTGACTATTTCAGAAATTTGGTCTGAAAGCCTAGAGCACAAGGAATGCCAGGAAACCATAAAAAGAATCCTGGAAACTTGACTCTGACCTATAACGGCAGTTTGACCTATGGTAAGTTCCTCCCTTCCCTGAACTTCAGTTTTTCTCTCCTTTAAGATAAGGAAGACACCATCAGCCACGCCCACGTTTAAATTCCATGACCTGTGCTGCTCTCTGGCTAACAGTGGATAAGTCACGTCACTTTTGTAGTTTTCCTATCAGTGCCAGGTTTTCTGATCTGAGACGGTACCTCAGGGATAACAGCATCAACCTACCTCGTGCATTTAAGCAAGGGTTAAGCAACAGGTATTTGTAAAACGTGCTGCCCACTGCCTGCCATGAACTGCACAGTAATTGGGAATGTCTGCCCCGTGCCTCTTACCAAATAGCAATCAAAGAAACAGAAGGGCCGGGTGGGTCTGACGCGGACAGCAACGTTCCCCTCTTCTCCCGGAGGCAGGACGTTGCCCTCATCATCCACAATCTGGTGGAGCAGTCATAGGATGGTGTCAGCATCTGCACACTGGGTCAGCCACCAGCCACGCCTGGGCTTGCTCGGCACAGGCATCTCACTGTCCTACCTGCACATCGTAAGGTGGGGACGCTTGGCCCATGGAGCCAGACTTGATCTTTGTGCCTCTCGCATTGGCACAGACTGTAACCTGGAGAGAAACAGGAGCGGGTGAGAAGCCTCATCTTCTTCCCTTTCTGGTTGGCGCCTTTCTCTCATCTGCTGTCCAGTGCTTCCTCCCACCCTTTCCTCTCCTCCTTCACTTTTTTCCCTCTCCCTCCTCTCCTTTCCTCCTGTTTTCTTTCCTTTCTTTTCCCTCTTTCCTCCTACATTCCCTCTTTTTCTTCCTTCCCACTTTGCTTCCTCCCTCTGCTTTTTCCCACCCTCCTTGCTTCCTTTCTTTTCTTCTCTCCACCCACCCATCCATCCATCCATCCACCCACCCACCGATCCACCCACCCATCCACCCACCCATCCATC